GCCTTGTGTGGCCACGCGTCGCGGTGTGTAAATTGGTCATACTGTTTTGCTTTTAAAACAAAAAATGACTTTTCATAATAATTCAATTCTCTTTTCTTTCTCTTTCTAATGAAATATTCGTGTGTATTTATTTATTTTTTCTAATTATACAAAAGTATTTCTGCGAACTAAAATGTAGGTGTACAATAGAAAGTTAGGTAGTTCCTTTTAGAAAAATTAAAAAAGAAAAAAAAAAGAAAACTTTTTAGGGTAGCTGTTAAAAAGGTAGACGTATATTATCAAAAATTGAGGTCTATCGGTGTCTCCAAACGCAAGCACGTCCGGTGGTGACCACCAAAGTGAATATCCCCGTCGGCGCCTCTTTTCCAGCTAGGACGACCGATTATGGACAATAACTTTATTTCATGGTGAAATTATTTTCTTTTCCCCCATCGTCCATCGTTGTTCACCATTTGCTGCCCCGTCTGATCGCGTCACGTTGCCGCCTAGTTATTTGAGCATATACCGATACGCCATTTTTAGGTTGGGTGTAATCGCTAATAGTCCGAAACTTTCAGGGAAAAATAGAACAACAGTTCACAAACGAGGTATCATCCTATTTTAAAAGAGGTTACGACTTTTCTCTACCGAATCGACCACCCCTATCAACCGACAAACGATTTGTTGTTTCTTAACTTTGTTGGTTTTTATGATTTCAAAGAACGCGTGTGCCTATATTTCTAAACCACAAGATTGACTTTTTATGATCAACATTGAGACATGGCTGGCTGTGTAACATGATCGTGTGTCAATAACACGTTGAACTATCTCATTTTATAGCTATACAAGCTAGACCAATTTGTTCTAGAATCGTTTAACGAAAACAACGAAAATGTGGTCGAAAATCTCAATGATCTTCCATTTAAAAGTACCGTAAACAAGAAAAAATGATCGTTCATGTAATAAAATATGAGAAGAAATGATATACGCGCATGTCAATTGACAAATAACCTAATGTACCTGGTGACTTGTTCAATTCACCAAATTTCTATCTCGTTAGATAAGTAACGAAAAAATATATCTAACTAATTATCCAAAAAAATAATCCGCTTGAAAGGATCGCTTCGAAAATTCCTGTCTTTTTTTTTTTTCACAAGATAGTCGTGAAATATAGTCTCCACCTGTCGAAAGTGTTCATTATTATCATAGTTAGGCTAACTATGGTTCTGAAAAACACGCAGGAAGGATACATATGTAGTTGCTCGTAACGACACGTCGAAATCGCGACTGTTATATTGTTCTGAAAACGAACCTAGACACCTTTTCGATGTATCTCGTGCCGAAAATAAGATTCCCTTTTCGGTTCTCTGTTATTTATCAATCTCGATTGGTTGTAAGAGTCTCCCGTTTATTGTTTACTATCCGTCACGTTATTAGTAGGTTCACATCACCGACAAGACACGGAGAGAAGAAACTTGGAAGACGCAAACTGACCCTACGATTCTTCTTATTCTTATTCTTCGTTTCTTATTCTACCTTCATCTTCTTTTACTTCTTCTTCTCATTTTCGATGAAAGATAATTCGAAAACATCGCATAGTAGCACGCTTGTTGATCTTTAACAACGTATAACGATGGCTCCCGCGACGGCGAACCGCACCTCGAAGGACAAAATGAGGAATTTCAAAGCGGAACCGGATAATGCGATAATTGTATTCCGAGAATCAGCGTGGCACGCATTCTCCTTAACAGACTATCTCTCCTTTTTCAAAGTTTCTTTCTATTCCATCCTCTTTTTCATCGTCCGTCTGACACGACAGTAGACACGGCATGGATGAAACTATAACTGCTCCAATAAGACGAGAGTTAATTTGTTCTCGTGTCAAATAACACACCTCGTCTATTTTCCTATCTTTTAGATAACACGAAATTCATTTCTCGGAATATAGGTATGATTCATTAGTTTTAATTAAATATTAACAATACAATCTCATATTAAATATCATATATAAATAATAAAATGATATTTATTGATCGACAAATTTTATTATTGAGGTATACCGGTTCTTAAAAATTGTTCATTGTCGATTGATAGAAAAATTGAGAACCCTTATTCGATTAAGAACTATTGATCTTATTCCCCTTGTGATATTTCTGGTCGGACGTGTTCGTGTGTTTTTAAAATCACGTGTATTTCAGGGCCATATCGTCATGTTAGTCTTGATGAATTATTGATGAGATGGGTAAATTCGTCAAGCGATGGAAGATCACAACCGTAGGAAAATAAAGGAGGAGTTTAGAGATGGACTAAAGGAAAACTAGAAATAAATGTTAATTCTTCGAAATATATCCAGGCAATCCGTTTTGATTTAGAATTTTTACACGATACCCATTACATCTCTATTGACCATCAATGCATATTCATGGACACATAATGTAGATCTTTTGTAAAGGTATAAATGGCAAAGATTGACTTCGTGGAGGGCCGAAAGTTAATGCGTCATACAGCGCACTCATAAATTAGATCTACTTGGCGGGTAACATGTTATTTGCCACCGAGCTCCACAAATGAGTTCACTTTGTATTTAATTACTGGACTCACGCCCAGGGCGTATCACCATGCCCAGACCCACCTCGGTTCGAACCGTTTCCAACAGTGTTCACCTTCTCATCATTTTCTCTTCCACCATCTTTTATCTATCTATCTCTTTTTCATCTTGCAAGATTTCTTTTTTCTTCCTTTCTCGTTTTATATTTCTCATCGCAATTTAAACCCGAAATATAAGAGAGTCAAAATGTAACATTTGAAAAGATAACAAATTTGACAATATTTTCAGATTAATTGTGACAATATTATATATTATAAATTTTCTAACGTATTATTACAATTGTTAATCATTTGTAGTTATCAGAAAGTTTTATTTCAAAATACAAATCTATTTGTTATTATTCTTATTGTTAGATTAGAGAGGGTGGGTGGATGTTGAAAATGTCGGATCTTTTGGATGAATTCGAGCGAGCTAAATCGATGGGTATGTCAGAACGGAGCGGGTTGAGCGAATGTGTTAGGTCTGGAAGCAGCCAGGTAGATGAGAAAGGTGGGTGAAGTTATAGGTATACGGGATAAGGGCAAGCGGTGGGACTTACGTCTTGTGGTCCTAATTATTGGTTCCGGCACGATTCCATTCCATTCCATTCCATTCCAAAATACGAGATGATATTAAATGAAACCGATCGATTTTCGTATCACGCCTGTCCAAGCAGAAAGATAGATTCTCGCGAAAGGTTTTACGAATAAATGAAATCGATTCGAGAAAATAAACTAAAAAAAGAAAAATCAACCAACTTATTTTGTTGTTCACTTAAGAAGCTCGTTTCTTACTACCATCCCTTAAGGTATCGGTTTACTTATATCCAAGTCGACAAGGTACTAGGAAGAGTTGCAAGAGTTCGCGAAGAAAGATAAGAAAGAAAATAAGAAAACAAAAAAAATATATATAGGAATAAAGTAACAGTTATCGTGTGGACAAATCGCCATGGGGTTTTTCGTAGGACCCTTGGTCGCTCTCGTTGAAGGTGTACGAAGAAGGAGTACGAAAGGTTTTTAAGTAGAGGATTATCGTTTCACTACTTAGGAAGAATTTTAGGACGGCGTTTCGGACGATCTCGAAATCCAAGACGACACGGCCGTGTGTCCCCCCCTCCCCCTCCCCCCTCCCCGAAGGGGAATGACAGAGAGAGATCGGATTACCTCGAGACCACCTTCGTGCTCGCCGCAAACTTTATCCTACCTGTTTTCGCTAATTGAGCGAGTAAAGATGTAACTGGACCTTACGCCCCTAAGGTATTTGCACCCTTTTTGCAAGATACGATCCTCGTTTATCCACTAAACTCGGTGAACGCAAGAGATGGACCTATGCCCTGTGGCTTGGTCCCAGACTGTGAGCACCGAATTCTTCGGAGGCAGATTTCAACCGATTTATTAATACCCACAATTCTTATCTTACGCTACCAGAAATTGTTAAATAATGACGGATAACTTTTCAATTTTTTTTTATTTTTTTCAAATATCCAATTTTTTTTTTTTAACGAAATTTATGCCGACAAAAAATTGACGTAGTTAATTTAATCGACAAGTTTAATAAAAATAATAATAACAATGAGATTTAACACAAAATATTATATCATTAAACATTTATTATTTATTATTTTAAATGATCATATTGATATAAAATAAATTATCATAATTATATCACATTTTGTTTGGTAAATGTAAATAAATAATTCGATTGGTCTTTATCGAAGTGAGAAAACGATCTGTAGAGACCGTGAGAATTTCACGCGAAGAATTTCATCGAGAGTCACACGATCTATGCAACGAGTAACGAAGAAGATTCCGAAGGAGAGATGGCTCCCTAACACAGAAAAAGTGGGAGGGGGAGAGAGGGAGGCAGAGAGAGAGAGAGAGAGGTGGATAAACTTTCCCAGAGAACGAAGGCAAAGGCTATACTACACTACCGATCGTTCTTTCTTTCTCATCCCTTCTTGTGTAGCCGTTGTAGGCGCCGGGCAACCTGTTGCGGTAACCGTCCGGGGTACACCGGGCCTGGTCCCCGCTTAAGAGCTCACTAAAAACGTGGTGGTAATGTTGGACGGTCTCCGATTGGTTCCGCGGCACGTGCTCCTCGAGGGTGCCTGCTCCTCGAACGCATAAAGTCTCTGGCGTGCTTCTACCAGAGTTCAGAAACACTCCGAGAGCCGACTCGGCGTGTACGCGTTTAAAACTACCGAAAAACCATTCTGATTTCTCGTGTATGATATATATTAATCTTTTCTAATGGTGTAATAATAAAACCGTAAGAAAAAAATTACAAAGAGATTTAAACTGTTAATCTTACAATTAGATTGACAATTATATTTATCAATAGAAGAGATTTAAATATAGTGCAAATCATTAATATCAAAACCGAAAAAAAAGAGCATTCATTAAAGTGTAACATATAATACTGATTCTCTCGTGCGATGGAACTTCAAGAGATGTTTCGTTATGGGTATATGTATCCACCTCGCGAGAACAAAGTTGGATCCTGTACTTACTTGGAATTACCGAATTACACGAGTTACACGGGCAAAACAAAATCAGGTTTGCCTCCAGTGAGCACTTTGGCAGTACCTCGTTGCGTAATATACGAAAGTTATAGAAACGATGATTGGCATACTCCGAGTCCTACGACAAGTTTACGATCTGTTAGTCCTGCTACGACACTTTCTTCGGAATCGGAGACTAATGTAACCGGTGCACCCTCCTATCATCTTTTGTCTGGAGCAACGGAAGATCAAAAATATACGAATAAGAGAATAAATAATGGTACTGATTGTATCGTTGTTGGGAAAACGCGATCATCGCGTTTGGATACCGTTGAACTTGGAGAAGAATTAGATGTGGATGCTGATGGGGACACTGAACAAGATAAGACTCAATCCTGTCATGGAAGTGTCGTTAGCAACTCGAGTAGTCTTTCCGATCGAACAATGGATGCCGATAGTGAAGACGACGAAGAAATGAGCGATGGTCCTGATTCGTCTGGTAATCCTACTTCTTCTGGACGTGACGCAAGAAGACGTGGCAAATACGTTAGTTCTACAACGGTTAAAAAACGAAGATTAGCTGCTAATGCCAGAGAAAGAAGACGAATGCAAAATCTTAATAAAGCTTTCGACAGGCTTAGAGCTTATTTACCTTCCCTTGGAAATGATAGACAATTATCTAAATACGAGACACTTCAGATGGCACAATCTTACATAACTGCACTTTACGATCTTTTACAATAACGATCGTTTGACAGGAGTTGCTTTATCTTAAGCTTCTTTTCGAATCATTAACAGAATTGATGTTTCTAAGATCAATCGAAAAAAATCGATTCACTTATAGTGACAAACACAAAAATATCAGTATTATTTTGAACAATAGGGTATCGAACGATAAACAAATTATTATTTTTAGAAATGAGACCACGTAAGGAAAAATATCACGTGAGACCTTTTCTGGAAATATCAATCATATCCTCTGTACATATAATAATCCACCGATAATTTGTATATTTTGTATATGATAATTTAATTAATTAAGCGATAAATAATATTAATTAAACGTTGTATCATATAGCGTTATATATAATTTATTGTAATTTAGATAAGTGACAAAGAAGAACAAAGTGATATTTTTTCGAATAAAACATTTTGCAGATAAATCTATTTCATACCGTTTCCAGAACTTCCCTTCCCCCCCCCACACCACCCCGCCCGCTTCTTTTATTATCATCCGAATAAATTTGACACAGAGTATCAATCGAAGAAAATTAATTGGAAACAAATTTGCGGATACAATTTAATGAATTTTGGGATAATTTAAGGATGATTATTATTGGTCAAAAGAAGGAACATCATCGTCATCGGTGGTCCGGTCGTCATTTGAAACCAGCGCGACACTTTGGTGCCCGGTTTCCTCGCAATTTGAGAACCTGCAGCCTTCTCTTCCTACAACGATGACGATGACTCCTTTTTCACTCGCTTTTTCTCTCTCTCTCTCTCTTACACTTTCTATATCCTTTCGCAAAAAGAAAAAAAAATATCACTCTTTCTCAAGATATTCAAATTTTCGAAGTATCATTAGTATCTATCGCTTAAACGAATCTACGAAGGTCTAAGGTCTTCTTCTAACAAAACTTCAGACTGATCTCGTAACACGATCTTACGTGATTCTGACGAATTATATCGAACCAATGATATTCTTCGATCCCTATCTAACAAGATTTAAGATACCTGGTATATATCAAAGTTAATTTCTAATTTTGATTTGAGAGAGAAACCCGTGAAAAGTTGATTTTTAACCAAACTCGTTAATATCTCACATATTGTAATTTAATAATAATATTTTAAATATTTAATACAATTATTTAATAATCATTATACACCTTTTACTATTAGAGATGGTTCGGTAAACGATAATAACGGTATCGATAAAATTTACTGCACTAGGAAGTCAATGAGTAATTTCACACACACACACACACACACGAGAGAAGATATAAATTAAACGAAATGATAGTCCCGTAATTTTGAAAAGCATTGAAAATTACCATCCAAATGAGTTACTACGCGGGAAGTCGTTCATATTCTCCTTTTACATGAAACTACTGCTGCACTTATCTTATCTCTCTCTCTCTCTCTGTTTCTCTTGAAGAAATTTTTGAAGTAAAAAGTAAAATTTGTTATAACTCTGATAGAAGAATATAATTATCTTTGAGTATTCCGTCTGGCCTTACTATAAATCATTAAATGAATATTTATGATATATGTATTCGTAAGAAATGATAAATAATTTTTAGGAATATCATCTATGCACATATACTTTGATTATATTTAACATTTTACGGCACACAAATCGGAAAAGAAAATCTTTCGTAATACGTCTCTACACTCGACTTCAAAGGTTGAAACTTGGTTGTTCCGATAAATCGGGTTGCTATTCGATGTGACCATCAAACGTTTGAGTAAGAATATCGGACCACCCTGCCTAGCGACGATCCCACAGCCGTGAGCTTCAAATTGAACGATCGATCTTACCGAGAATGAAAAAAAAAAACAAGAAAACAAAAGAAATTAAAAATAACAAAATAAAAAAATAAACTGAACGAGAGAGAGAAAGATATTCTGCGCGAGTTTGTCGCGCGAGAGAATAGCGGCTTGTTGTACGTCCTCGTCGGAAGTCGACTGATTTATATGTGCACCGAAAATCGGTCGCTTTGTAATACTCGGCCGAACGTATAAACGGACGTGCACCGTTTTCGTTCATCCCCTTCTTTACATTTTGTATTTTTATTTAATTTCTTTGTTTTTTTTTCTTTTTCTTTCAATTCTTTCCCTTATAGATTTGTCCGTTCTCCGTTTACCGCGAAACGAGACAGACTCTCAGCATGACAGTTGAAATCGAATAGAGGAACTGTTCTTCCAACGTCTATAATGGAAAATTTAAACGATCTGAAGAAAAAAAAAATATCTTACTAGACGTATATATAAGACAATTAATTATTCGTATATATTTGAGGTTATATTTGTTTTGGCGCGTTAACGAGACGATGCGCGCGCAACAGCGACATGAAATTAACATCATGAAGTTAGCCGATAAATCTTATTCAAGATATTTATTTATATATTTAAAAAAACTCACTTTTCTCGAGATTTCTTTAATAAACATCGTGTTTCGAAAATTTTGAAAATACTTGTTTCATTGACAAAAGAAAAATAAAGAAATTCTATAGCGAAGTGAGATAGAAATTTTCGATTGACTTCACTCGATAAAATCAGATACATCCGAAATTCTTAAAGAGGTGAATAAGAAAGAAGAAGAAAAGAGAGAGAAGACGTATACACAGAAAGATAGACAAACAAACAAACAAACAAACGAACGAAAGGAAGAAAGAACGAACACACAGGTGCGGTGATGGGGGTAGAGATTCTGTTGAATACGCGCCACCGACAAATTTCAACGGACCGATTATATTTATCGCTTGATCCCGAGCAGGAGATTACATTATTCCGATGTTTAATGCGTTACGCCTTAATGCCGGTCCACCTCCTCCTCATTCTTCCGAGACGAGACGACGTTAGGTATTCGTTGAAAGTTTCAAGCTACTCGTGCAGGCGTGCTTAACTTAAAAACCGCTTCTCAAATAAAGCAATCTCCACGATCAGACAACGATGCGGCGTCGTTTGTCCGATCGTCCATGTCCCTCCGATCCATTAAGTTTCTCTCTCTCTCTTTTTCTTTTTTTCTTATTTTCGCTAAACCACCACCCTCTATCCGATGGAAGTATTTTGACATTGGCAACTTTGGTCACTTGTTTGGACGGCCAACTACCGTTCTCTTTCGGTAAACGATATCGTGATAAAACTCTTTACATCCTCGAATAATTAATTGTTTCCTGAAAATATTTACGTTCTTTCATCTCTGATAACCACTACCCTCTTTTCGACTCTTTTTTCTTTTTCTTCTACCTACCAATCGAAAGATCTTTCAATGATCGTGAACAATGCCATTAAATCTTTCGAGAATACTAGGAATAACGTGTAGAAACGATCGAAATATGTTTTTCTTTGCACTTCGTTTAGATTTGTTTCTATTATTTTCCATTTTTTATTTAGAATTATTTAGATTCACATAAGAATTATACAACATCCGACTGCTGATGTTTTCAAAGAAATATATTTGAAAAACTAACTTCTCGAATATTTTCGTATTATTATCATCAAGTTATATTTGCTTTTTCTATTTTATGACCTACCATATTTCGCACGTGGCTCTCACATCTTCTACCCTTTCTCTAATAATAAAAAAAAAAAGAAAAGAAAAGAATTTAACAGTTAAGTACTAAATACTCCGTTAAACATTTTATTAATACACTGTTTTATTGTACGAACAAATTTGTTTTACTTCCTCTCCTCGACAAAATAATGCAACAACAAAATTGTTGTTTTACACGTAACGATAAAACTTTTCCTTCTTCGGTTCAACGTTCGATGTGGGAATTCGCGATGTCGTACATTTCAGTCCCCTAATATTTCTGTCTAACCAATAGGGGTGGTTTTTAACTAATGGAAAGTCTAGTTAACAATGGATAAAAAAGATCGGAATCAAAATCAGAATTCACCCGCGCACACTTCTTTTATGGTTAGTCAATATGGCTGCTCTCCCATGTAAAAAGTTTTGACTTTAAATGCGTGTTCCCGCGGATGCTTCCGGATTATAAAACCCAGGTATATACGAAGTCGATCCCAACGAATGCAACCAACAACACGGCTGCCTTTTGTAAAACTCTTCCATGATCCTGCGTGTTTGACTCTTTAAGCTCATAAATCGGTAAAGGATCTTGATTTCGATCCCAAGGATCTATCTCTCTCTCTCTTCCTCTTTCCTTCTTTTTCTTTTTTTTTTCATATTTTCTATTCGTTATTTTCTACGGATACTCTTCTCTTCTCAGAACCATCCTTCGATACTCTCAAAATACAAAAATATTCTTCATATTAAATAAAGTCGCACGATAAATATTGTTTTTCTTCTTTCACGAAATTATGACAATATATACACACCACGTTTAACAGTTTTAAATGAACAAAATAACGTATAAATACAAATGCAGAATCATAGAGGGGATGGAGGGGATCAGCGTGTGTTATAATATATTAATTAAATAAATCAAAAGACGTAAGACTAAAATCTGTTTGGTTTGTTTTTGTTTGTTCGTTAAGAATAATTACAAAAATTGATACCAATTATGAACTCAAAAAATCTCTTTAGGGCGGAAGGGGAAAGAAAATAAAAAGTTGAAGAAGAATTTGTGATTATAAAATCGTAATAAAATACTTTCACATTGGATCATATTTTTACGTTAGCCAATAACAACAAAATATTTATTCGAATTGATAAGGGGGTGGTATGATCTGAGGTGAACACGTATCACGCAATTCACCCTTACCTGATATACATTACATTGATAGACTCGAAAATGGGAAGAAGGAAGAATCCAATGATCGAGAAGTGAGGGAAGTCGAATCGGTGGGAAAGTGGGGATTGCTGAAGCGAGCCAATACAAGGGTGAAGAGAATGGTGGAAGAAGATGACGAAGAGTGGGAAAGGGTGGTAAGGGGGGCAAAAGGGAACACACTGCAAAGCCGGTTGCGCGCGACACGCGCGTATCTCGCCACTCGAAACTGCCCCAGGGACATTAATCCCATTTAATCGAACACCGGCTCAGAAGGATCCCTCTTCAGTC